CAATAAGAAGAAACAGAGCAGTTAGGGACGGTCATCCCGTCGATTTTCGACTCTAAGCGGAAGTCGGCCGACTCCCAGCTGGCGCCGACCTAAATTCATTCCTCTTGGAAGCCATGTAACGTGTCGGGAATCCCGGTGATCAGTTGGCCAGCTTTCAACTCGCTCTGCGCCATGGCGGCACAGAAGAAGCAGCCGGAAGGCAGTACACCCTCACGTTCCCGACTTCAATTGAAAAAAAAGACACTCCAAAACTCTTCGATGGAGGGGAACGACAACTCCTTCTGAGCACAAATGACCATTAGACCAATAATTTTCTTCTAACTGTTCGGCGTGATCTGACTTATGCCGATCCCCTAGTCCCAGAGATAATCGGTAATCATGTTGGGAAGGGAAAACCTCAGCCCCGACCTAACGTTCTCGGAAAATACCCCCACACAGCCGGGAGGAGGAGAATGAATCCTCTCCCCGGGGTATGGGACAAACATTCTCACGGTGGGAGAAATCCGAGTCGACTTCCTCAGCAAGACCACGTCAGCATCATGCATTGTGCTGGGCTCGCCGGGGAAGACCGCATCGGCATCGGGCCAACGCCAAGAGAGGTGATTCCAGTAACCCTCGCGCACAGGTAGATCTTTTTCAACCTTGTCGTCTCCCTCATGATTGTTCCTCCGCAAGACCAAACGTTCGGCCAACACCGGATCCCAACGGAAGTACCCCAACACTGATTCCATGTCGACCTCCTCGTTGGAAGAAGCCCCACAGACCGCCTCGTCGGAGATAGTTCTGTTGCTGGTTGTCGTCACTTGTTCATCCATCTCAGGACCCGAAAAAATCTCAGACAGCAAAGCCAAATAATAGAAATGAAAAAGGAAGTAGATAGAAGAACTCACCCCAAAGAAACAGTTAGTTGTCAAAGTACGAGACTTCAGAAGTCAGAAGAACAGGGAAGTGAAGACTAGAAGGATATAGCGAAAGATTGAGGGAACAAAGTGAATACCTCTGAAAAACTGGGGAAATGAGAATTTATAGGGGAATTTTGTGACCGTTGAAGATTAACTGACGTCTGAAACCGTCACGATCAAAAAACTAGAACGATTTGCGTTGCCTTCTATAAATACACGTGGCCCAATGAAGCCCCACCACGTGGGCAAAGGTATAGAGATCGTGGGAACGTATCGCGAACAAACGTAACCGCCTAGTAAAAGAAGCGGCGGGCGCATCGACACGTGAAACCGCGCGCTATTAAAGAGAAAGGTGACCAAAGTGAGTAGCGATCAAAATTTTGGTTAAGGGCCAGAAGTCGGCCGAAATAACCCTGAGGAGGACGTCGTCAAAAAGGAATATGGCATTAAGAGACACCATAGCTCATGTCCCTCTTAATGCCAGGGGCCTCTATGTTGATATAAAAATCACCTCACGGAACGGATTGGTGACACGTGTATGGAATGAAGAAGAAGACGAAGTAGCCGAAGTAAAGGAGAGCACCTCGAGTAAACGGGCGAGCTGACCTCAACAAATAAACTGACCTTGATCAGGTCTAATACAAGTCTAACGCCCAACCAACCGAGAACCGCTTCGAGCTTGCCTTCCTCGCGGGTAGAACGCCGAACCTGCACGCAAGTCTCACACCGCAGTTGTTTTTCGGTGAAGAGCCTCCAACGCCCAAGTCAGATCTTGAGAGGGATGAAAATATAAGTGTAAGTGTATAAGAGTATGAGAGATTGTGTGTAAAATGGGAGTTCTCGCCCCTATTTATAGGGGCGAGTTACATGTTCTCCACGCGCGGCTTGGGCAAATCCAGTTGATAGCTCTTCTGCTCGTCCGTACGATCGCGCGCCTCCACTATCCTGGTGTTAGAAAATGCGTCGCAGTGCGTCAGGGAATGTTAGAAACCGTTATCGCCCTAGACCACTTGTTGTGCGCTGCGTGTCCCCTCTCTACGTGTTGAAAATTCTCTTGTCTATCCGGATTTCAACCAGATCTCTCTCGAATGCCAAGCTGCCCCTGAAGTGTGTGGTGGTTGAGTCCACGACCACGCCCATCTGATCATTCTTCTTCGACTAAATCTTCGAGCCTCTTGTACTTGTCTGAGGTCGCCAAACGCACTCTTCTCTGTTGCCTTCGTTCTTTCCTTCATTGCGGATGCCTGGTCCGAGTCGACCAAGTCGTTGGTCTGCTTTAGTCGGTTGTCCTGATGAACCAGTCTATTATATAATACCCTCTATCATCTAGTCCCCCCACTCTGGTCGAGTCTGAATGACTCAATCTAAGAGTAGGCTTTGTCTGTATTGCTGAGGTCCTACTTCTCTGGCTTCGACCACCTGGCGCATTTCCTACTTTTAATCGACCACTTTTCTCCATAACCGCCCTTTTCCGGTTTTGAATTTTGAATTTTGCCACTTGTCCGCCTTTTCAGACGCGTACTTTAACACTTCTCTCTTTGCAGCCATTCTATCACTTTGATTATGCGGTTGGTGTTTTTTCGACTATTCTTCTATCCTTTGATCCTGGCCCTTGAAATTTCGCGATCCAAAGGTTGACAATCTTCCCTTCTCTCATTTTTCTGCTATAAATATCCTGATTCTGACCATTAGAAGTTTTTTCTACCTTTACGCACTTTGGCATCATATCGCAACACAGTATCTCCTGCAACCTTCAAGCTTCTTGCAACTTCAGGTTTTTGCATCTCTCCTCGAGCCCAACCCCGTTGACAATGAGTAAGTTTTCTTTGATCTTTGAGTTCGTGCCTACTAAGTTTCCGAATTTCCTTCTTTTTCTTTTCTTGTTTCCTTCTGGGCTTCACGATTCCGCCCTCCTTCCTCTCTCTCCCACTAAACCATCTTCGATTCTCCTCCTTTTATTCCATTTTTCTTGCTTTTGTCTACTCTCCTATTTTTTTTTTTCAGATTCCGCCACCTCGAGCGAGAACGACCGGTATAGTGGGAAAGATATGACCCTCTCCTTCCTCTTCCACGACCCCTAGTTTTTCCAGCGATTCTGTGCAGAAAATCCTCCAACCTGAACATATTAGCGTTATTCGGCCCACTATTATCAGCGACAGCCCCACAGCCACTGTTGTCTCTCCTTCCGCCTACCTAGTCGACCAGCCCAAAGAGGAAGTCACCAGCCGTCCTCCTTCTCCACCCATCGAGCATACTCGTCAAGTGGTTGGTCAAGATGACGGGGACGAGGAAGATCCTGTCGATAATATCCCTCTATCCGCTCGCGATCCCAAAGATTTCATCCCGTTATCCGCTCGTGTATTGCTTCCTCGACTAACCCTTCTCCTTCGACCAAATCCAAGTCATCCTCTTCCTCTAGTACTAACTGGCTCGACTTTGACTTGATCGGCCATCCTGGGGCCTTTCATACTCCCGGTGATGATGACACTTCCACCCAACGCCTATACCTTCTTCCGCGCTTATTTTGACCTCAGCTTGCG